TTGTATTGAGTAATTCTAATAAGATGTTTTCCTATTTGAATTAGCATTTCATTATAAAGCACATGATGTCCACACAGAAGAATGGTTCCGAAACTTGCCTTGTTCCCCTTGTTTAGAAAGAAGAATCTTTCCTGGGTACTCTGCTGACTGGAGGTGATGGAGCCCACATTGTTGCTAGCAATTCACTCTGTAGACCGGAGGAAGGTAAATAATCTGTCCAATACACAGGCCTTTGTCTGCAAAAATGATACGGAAGATTGCTGGCCTCTGGTTCAGAAACGTCATTCCATTCTGATTCCTCCTTGTCACACACAGGTTTTGTTGGGAAATGTTACAGCTCTATTATATAAAAGAAATGGCCTTTTGATAGAGCAGTCAGGATTTTAAGAAGCCCACAACTAGCTTCTGGCACCCAAAGATATCGTGTGTTTGAATAGGTTACCCCATTGCTGGATGGGAAGTGTCTTTTTTGATGTTGGCAGGAGAGAAGGTCCCTGCTCCTTAAACTCAAAAGAAGTTGTAAACCCTGTTCACCATTGTTGACCTTGGAGAATGCACTGATTCCAGTTAGCTCTTAACCTCTCAATACTTCTTGCTCTGGTCCTGCTTGTGGAGATTGATTTTTTTATCCCCCACATCTGTTTCATGATGGGAATTCTCTTGGATAGAACCTCTTCAGAAACCATTAGATTTTTTTTTTCTTCCAAGCTTTGAGTTGCTTTGAGGCTCAACTCAACCTCTCTGGGAATCTTTTCCTTGGGGTGCTGATCAGTCCGGTAGAACAGAGTTGATGTAAAGCTGAATAATGAAGACTCTTGGAGCCTCCCCAGCTTGATTTTTCCATATATCTAGCTCTCCAGTGAGTTCTCACAACTGCCTCCATTTACTGATTCTCTCCTAATTGATGCTGACACAGTTTTTAAGTTCACATCATTTCAGAGATCTCAGAGGTTCTGGTCCCCTAAATTGTCCTAGATCCCTCAGAGTTGGACAATGGGTAGTATGCAGTCTCTTAACTTTCCAAGGTTGGATCAGATGATTGAGAGTCCTTTCATCTGTGGGCAGGCTGGAGGAAATTGATTACCCTGACCACTTTCCATTTGGCTTCAGAAACCAGACCAGAAAATCAACTCCACGGGAAGGCTAAAACTACTTTTATTGAGATTAGCTCTAATAACAGAATCTTGCAAGTCTGATTGTACTGGACCTCCTCCTCTTCATCATACTTTAGTGAATTAAGGAGGCATCTATCTGAGCCACTTCTCAATGTCATCGGATGTCTTGAACTTAAAAAAATGCCTAGGCAGTGGTTCCTGCATATCTCCATCAAGGTCATCTTCTTTACTCTCTGCAACAGGGTCAAGACTGCTTTGCTCAGTCTTATGGATGATCTTTGCCCAGGAAGTGTGGCTTGCTTGTTTCTTCTTGATCTCTCAGTGGTTTTTATTCCCATCAGCCATGGGCTCCTGGGACAACTTGAGAACATAGGAACAAAAGGCCATCCTTTACAGTGACTGTGTCCTATACATCAGGGAGATTTCAAAGGGTGTCTCTCAGAGGCAGAGCTGTGATACAGTGGGTCCCGAGTGTCTATTCTGTCTCCAGAGCTTTATTTACAGCAGTGTTTCTCAACCTCAGCAACTTTAAGAAGTGTGGACTTCAACTTTGTTGAAGAGTCCAGAATACCTAAGCTTTAGGTTCATCATGAGTGTTTCCAGAAGCTGTCTGCTTTACTTCATCCAGTACTGAATGCTCTGTTCTTCTTGTAGTCCAAGGTCCTCTGAAAAAATGTCTTCAGCACCATGGTTCAAAGGCAACCATTTTTCTTTGGGCAACCTTTCTGAGGTCCAACTTTCTAAGCCAAATATTACATCTGGAAAACCATAATCTTGCCAGCACACACCATTGCTGTCAGTGTGAAGTCTCCACACTATTAATATTTTGCCCAGGCTTGTCATAATCTTTCTCCCGAATATACACAGGTTTCTTTAATTCATAGCTACAGTGAATGTTTGAATCCAGGAAGGTATAATCTACAACTATGCCTGAAACATACTTCTTTACACAGACATTTAATTGCCAATTGTAATTATAGACTTTAATTGTTTGAAGTATCTTTCAACGGCTTTAATATCTGTGGTTTTAATATTGGTTTTACATTGATGGTATACTGCCAAGAGGTAGAATCAGCTGAAATCAAAGATCTCATGGCTTGGTTTCCTTTTGTTCACAGGAAAGCTCTATTTCTTTTCGGAGGGTCTCTTGTTTTGTCATCCCCACTGCGGTAGCATTACCATCTCCAAGGCACACATGGTGTCCGTCCAATTCTACGATGGGGTAAGTGCGTGACTGCCTGCTTGTTTGAAATACTCCATGAAAGCAGAAGAGCTTTCTCTCATCCACTTCCTATTCTGTTTCGAAATTCTTCAGAGCTGTGTTAAGTCCCTGGAGCCGTAGATCCTCAAACATTATATTTGCTTTTCTTTCATGTATGTGCTCTTCAGCGCATGTGCATCTCCAGCGATGCATATGAGCCCTTGAAGCAAGTACTTAATAAATCAACTGAAGCCTCAGCTCGGTGGCTTCTTCCTGAAAACTAGGAACGAGATCCGCAAACATTCCACCTGGATCCCGTCCAATCTTCTAGAGTGGGAACTCAAGCAGAGTCCTTATTCTGTAGCTCAGCCCAGAACGTGGGGTCAAAGCTCTTTGGTTCTGAGGAAAGCAGCTGCAGAAGAGGGACTTAACCATGGTTAAGGCATGCAGGCTGGAGTTTGGGTTTAGAAGAAAGGAACTGGGGCAATTTATTTATTTATTAAGGCTTATGTGGCATTCCAGTTAGAATTGAATTAGATCAGTGTTTTTCAAACCTGGCCACTTTAAGATGCGTGGACTTCAACCCCCATGCTGGCTGGGGAATTCTGGGAGTTGAAGTCCAC